GCTCTGCTGGTTTTAATACTTCTCACTGTCTGCTGGTGTGTTAGGTGAGGATGAACACTGTTGTCTCTGTGAGATCATTGAAATTCAATTTAGAATTTACACACTAACCAGACATCACCTGTTCATGTTTGTATTCACTCTTTTCATAAACCAGAAGAAAGAGGAACTCTCACCAACCTTCAAGAAATGAAAATTTGGATGATTTGGAGGTGATAAAAATAAAATACAGTTTTAGTACAACACAAAACATCAGCCTTCCAAAAATACATCCAAGTCATTTTTAAAGAGATGATACATTTCTTATTCTTCACTAAAATCAGATCTTTATTCTTTCTTAGTTTTTTGTCTTCTTTTAGTTTTTCTTCTGCTGACACAGAAATATTTTTGTACCTTATGGTTTAAAGGTCTATTTCTTTGTCATAAATCTTTTCTACAGCAACAAATAATAGACCAGTCAGCCTTTTTAAAAGCTTTATGATAGTTTTTTAAAATGTCAGAGCAAATTATTTAAACAGACTCACTCACATAGTTTAACTCATATTGAATATCTATGAATACAAGTTTGAATCTACTATTTTGGGCTAATTCTACCATCCAGCTGAGCTCTTAGTTGAAGGATCTGCAGTAATTTATTCATTACTGTAAAAATAACAACAATCATCATCATCACTGAAAATGTAACTTCTCTGTTTCTTTGTTATCATTTAAACTTTGGTCCCCAGTATGACGACATCACAGCTCATGGAGGAGAGCAGGACCTGAACTACCAAAGACTCCACGTCTACAAGAATGAAACAGATTCTCTCTACTCCACGATTCCTCCATCTCAGCCCCGAAAACAACATCATATCCACTACACTCCTGAGTATGTCTGAAACAGTAATTACACTGTAAATGAGGGCTATATTGCTACAAAACTGTAGATTATTACAGACTGGGCTTTATAATAATCTGAATAAGATCAAAGTGGATTATAGAGTTCATTACTTTGTATTTTGAATATAGAGGGCTGTGAGCTCCTTTCCAGATTCACTGGATCAAATAAGGAAAATGTTTTTGTTTTTGTCTTATATTTCACATAGTCAGTCATTTTTTTATGAACTAGATCAAAGAGGACTTCCAGACAGT